GCATGTGATAGAGCATCTCGTCCGCTATCGAATGCACTATAGTTTATTTTGTCTACGATGGATTTTAATGGTTTTACAGAGGTTTTTCTGAAAGCCTCTATTCGAGAAAAACCACGTCTTTCGAATAATTCAATGTTTTTGCGCATTTCAATTTGTAACTGTAAAGTATATTTCTTTCTATTGTACAGGGTGTGGGTGGGTGTGGGTGTGTGTGGGTCTGGGTGTATGGGTGTGGATGTGGATGCCTCTATTCTTCTCATTACACCCACACTCACACCCACACCCACACACCCACACTCACACCCACACACCCACACTCACACATCCACACTCACACACCCGCACCACACCCACACCAGGGTGGCCAGCTAATCGCTACAGTCAACGTGGAAAAATCAGAAAAATCAGAAGTTGACATCGATTGTGGCGCCCCACCTGGCCACCCTGACCCACACCCACACCCTTCTTGTCTATGGGCTATTATTCTACTCAATCCCTTCGTAAACTTGATGTTTTGAGAAACTCTCGTACTTCGCACACTAAAAACAAGCATCTAAAAAGTGCAAAAACAACAACAACAGTTGCTGCAAGTACTGCTTCAACTGAAAGTGATGGCGAAATTGCATATACCCCAAATGAAGAAAACCTTGATTCCTTTGTAAACGATATTACATTAGAACTCAATGATATTGCATTACAACTATCGGATGGTGATATAACTGATATATATGAAGCAGGTGGTGATGATTGATTATTGAAATATGTTCACCGTTATCTCAGATTCTAAAAATACTAGTTACATTATTATCATATCATTCATTAATCGCATGTCATTTCCTAATTTCTGGTTTCTAAGGTCATTTAGATGAACCTGCAAATAAATTTTTGTCGTGATATCTTCAGCCATAATGAGCTCAAAGTGTCTTTTATTAGTGAAGATAATAGAAAAACACTATTACTGGATGAAAAGTCATAAAATACACTTCTAAAAAGTATTTTGCGTTTTTCTCAAAATGAGATTTTTTGTTTTTACGTTTTTGTGCGTCCCAGATTTCTCCGCCATTTTGAAAGCTAGAAAGCTCGGGTTTATTTTAAATCATAGCTAAGATGTGACACTACAACTTAACAGAGTCGGATTTTTCAATTTCATGATTGATGTCAGATGAGGAGAAAATGTTTGAGAACTTACACCCTACTAATTCCATATCATGGCGTAGAAGTTCTTTAAAAACCAAACTACAGAGAAATTTTAAAAATTGGACTTTGTTAAGTTGTAGCCCCATGTCTTGGCTACATTTTAAAACCAGCTCGAGTTTCCTAACGCTTAAAATGGTGGAGAAATCTGGGACGCACGAAGACCTATGTTTTGAACCTTAATCTTCAGTTACCTCTTGAAAGGCTCGAGATTTCAGGCTGAAATTTTTACCACGCAGTGCTCAGCCCAATACACATTTACTCTGAAAGTTTCGTTAAGATTGGATGTTCTAAGGCAAAAATAAAATTTTGGGTGGGGGCTGGGCCTTAATATATCTTTTTTGACTAATGTTGTTATGTTTTCATCTCACTTGATCATTCGAGTGTTATAACTGGAAAGTGATTCGCTCATTCTTTCTGTCCTACAAGTGATATAAATCTATGTGACAGATGTTACGCTTTATTTTTCTATTTACCAATGTTAAAAATTAAGTTTTGGTAAATCGAAAAAAAAATATCGGAGTCGAACTTGTAACTGACTCCGATTCCAAACCCGAAAAATTTTTTTCCGCAAACCCGACTCCGACTTCGGAAATTTTTGTTTTTTCGACTCCGACTTCGACTCTGACTCCGTCGGAGTCGGGTTTCGGAGTCCTCCGCAGGTCTCTCCTCGATCATCTCAATAACGCGTGAGTATTATTTTATTCAACTTTTTTCTCATTTAAATTGTCTGAACACATCAATTCACAGTAAGTATTATTTTATAAAAATTACTATTTTNGTTATTTGTACGTCATACCTACGATCATGCCCTACCAGTCCGGCGTGGTCCGCTCTGTGTGTACCTGTTGCACACTTACAGGGTCTCTTCCTAGTCGCGCGCGCGCGTACGCGATAATGAGCGGAGAAGGTGAATAGGAAGGCGAACAAATTTATTGACAAACAGCAAAAAAAAATTACATCTTTCTTCGAATTTTTTCAAATGTTCCTCTATAATCCACTTGATAAGGATGAGTTGAAGGTAATTTTTCTTGAGCTATTTCAACCGCTTGTTGAACATTTTTCATTGCCATATTATATTGTCGAGTAGACAAATATAATTTCGCCAAATTGTGATATACTACAGCTAAATCAGGATGATTTTTTGGTAATTTCTTTTCACGAATTTTTAATCCTTTTTCAAAATATGTTAATGCCGTTGAATAATCTTTCATTTGTCGATAAGTTTCACCTAAATTTACGTATGTTGTTGCACATTGTAGAGGATTACATTGAACATTTTCTTGAATATTTAGTGCTTTTCGATGAAATGAAAGTGCCTTTTCATAATCACCTATTAATCGATGAACATCACCTATATTACTGTATGTAATAGCTAGATTTGGATGTCTTTCCGGTAACGTTTCTTGAAATATTGAGAGACACTTTTCAAAGTTTTCAAGTGACTTTGAGTAATCTTTCATACCGCGATAGACTCTTCCAAACCAGCTGTATGTAGAAGCAAAAGCTGGATTACCTTCTTCAAATGCTTTTTGTCGAATTTCAAAAGCACTTTGAAGAGCCTTAAGAGCTGCCACGTATTCACCCAGATCATGATATACCGAAGCGATGTTGTTATATGAAGTAGCCAAATCGGGATGATTCGGAGGCAGAGTTTTCTTGTCGATTTCCAGTGTCTTTTCGTAAAGTTCAAGTGCTTTCTTGTAGTCACCCATGTCTCTATATACCAAAGCGATGTTGTTGAATGAAGTAGCCAATAAGGGATGTTTCGGAGGCAGAGCATTTTCGTAGATTTGATGTGCTTTTTCGTAAAATTCAAGTGCTTTCGAGTAGTCACCCATGTTGCTATAAACTCCACCGATGTTGCTGTATGAAGTAGCCAATGAGGGATGATTTGGAGGCAGAGCTATTTCTTTTATTTTAAGTCCTTTTTCGTAATATTCCAGTGCCTTCGAGTAGTCACCCATGTCGCTATACACTCCACCGATGTTGCTGTATGAAGTAGCCAAATCGGGATGATTTGGAGGCAGAGCTATTTCGTAGATTTTATGTGATTTTTCGTAAAATTCAAGTGCTTTCGAGTAGTCACCCATGTTGTTATACACTTGACCGATGTTACTGTAAGAACTAGCCAAATTGGGATGATTCGGA